TTAAATCTTCAATATCATTCAAATGGTGAGGTTTACGGAAAAAATATAAAATACCTTTTTTGTAGAGGATTAAATTTTCTACAAAATTCGTCTAGAACATTTTTCTGTACAATCAATTAATGATGAAGTATGAATTTTATTCTATTGGACTGAGAAAAAAATAAAATACTGCGATGCGGAGGATCTTCCTATTAAAATTAAGAGCTCATATTTGGTGAGAATTCTTATAAGGTGTCTAGCAACCCATTTTTCCGTGGCACTTGTAAAAAAAAAATAATTGATTTTTTTGACCCACCCTAATATATATATATATTAAATGAAATAAATATTATTATATTTTGTTATTTTCTTTTTCTTCTTCTTTTTTCTCGAGTGTTTAGTAAAACAATGATTTAATTTAATTTTTAAATTTATACCGAGTTAATTGAAAAAGTTTTTGGATTCTAAGATTGAAAGCATATTACTTTTTGTTGTTGTTGTTGTTGTTGTTGTTGTAAATCGAATACATTTTTATTTATTATATGAGAGAAAAGTTTTCTTTTTTGTTTAACAAAATGATTTAAAACCTTCTGTTATTTTATTTTAACTGTTGTATTATATCATTGTTCAAAGTAATTTGATTATATTACATTCCGATAATTATTTTTGAAATTTTAAATGTCGGGACTATAAATTAGTTTGAATAATTTTAAAAATATTTAAAAAAAAATATGCAGATATACGATTACGTTGTTTACTTTATAGTTTTAAGAGTATAATATAAAATAAAAAAACAAAAAGAAACAAAAGAAAATAATTAATAATAGAAAATGATTGAAATTGTTTCAGGACAAACTCGGCCATTGGCTACCATTTATGAATGGATCTTGGAGATTTAGAAAAATGGTGGCAGGATCCAGGAATTGCCATTTGGAGTTTTGTACTCTTTGGCTGTTTCCTTCTCAATGTGATCCTTTTACTCGCCTTTCTTATACGACCCGGATTGAGAACGATTTCGAACAGGTTCGTGTGTGTTGTTGTCCTCTCACCGCATCTCTGAACCTTTTCCCTTTCGTTCTTTTCATTTTTTTCTCTTTTTTTCCTTTTCTTTTCGTACTCATAAACTTGTCATTCTACTTTCTATTTTTTCTGTTTTTATTTTGTTCTCAACGAAAGATAAATACGAGAAACAATTATTCACACATCGAATTAATTTTAAAATCCATTTAAATTATTTACGTTTTTTTACGGTTCTTATTTTTTTCTTTTTTTTTCTAAGTTTAACGTTAATTCCAAATAAAAAATGAGACAAAATGAAAGGGAAAAATATTTTTCATTACTAGTGAAATTTAATTAAAATTGTTATTGAAATTAAATCGTTCTATAATGAAAATTTTTCCCATTTATATTTAGTTTAAAAAAATAAAAAGTATTTTAAAACAAATAATAATTTAATAACTCGATGTAATATTTGGTGGAACGACGCGTTATTTTAATGTTTTACTAGTTACATTTTAACTCTTTATGAGAGTTCGTATAAGAGAATGATTATAAATAAATTGAAATATATAAATCTTCCCCAAAAATAAATGTTCTAACCGAAACAACGTTAAGTAGAGCCAACAAAGATGCAAATGCAATAACGTTCTTTTTAACAATCCTCTTATACGATCCTTTGCCAAAATGTTCTCTTACGACAACATCGGAGAGATTTCTCTTAATAAATATTTTCTCATAAAACAAATTGTTACTTCTGTTGCACAGTAGTAGCAATAGCAACAGCAGCAACAATGGTAACAGCAGCATGTGTTTTTGCATTGGAAAATTTCAATTTTCATGTTTGCGTTAAAGAAAATCTTTCAACAGATTCTTTCGTACGCGATTCGATAGATTTTGATATAAACAAAAAAAAAAAAAAAACAGAAAAAATAAACGTTCTAAATTTATCCCAGAATTTAATCCCAGTTTTGTCCTGTTTATGATGAATCTTGAAATATATTTCTATACTAATGATAAGAAATATTTTTACGAAAACAGATAACTCTCGTAAAGGAAAAATTATATTATCTTAACGTTTAAGAGTTGTATCTAAGAAATTTACGAGATAATAATTTCACAAGAATTGTCAAGAAATTTCTATTATAGTCACATCAGTGTAGTGACTAATGTTATTACGTAAACAGTAAAATAATCTCAACGTATGTTCATTAAAATGTGTGACATTAAAAATCATCATTTGATTTCCTTTCTTTCTTATTATCGATAATGCGATCGTTTGTAAAATTTGACAAGCCGAAAACACCTGTACTACTCCATCTGTTACTTTTATTTTTCTTTCGTTATTTGTAATGAATAAAATCAATTGATTTAATATATATATATTTTTTTTTTGATAAATCTCATATTTTCACGACTCAATCAAATCTTTATGTCGCAATATTNGAATAAAATCAATTGATTTAATATATATATATTTTTTTTTTGATAAATCTCATATTTTCACGACTCAATCAAATCTTTATGTCGCAATATTTTCCCCATTATCTTAAATAAAAGTTTCATTAAACATTAAACGAATTGAATCGAATTTTTTATCAATAATTTCCGTTTATTTTTTTTCAGATTTGTGATGAATTTGACTGTCTCGAACCTGTTAATTTGCGTGCTGTTGAATCTTCTTTTGATTATGGATTCATCACCAACGTCGAAACCGGACTCGTCGGTATTCTCAGCTGAAAAAGTATGCGCCATTTCGGAAGGTGCAACAGCATTGATGACAACATCATCGGTTTTATCAGTTTTTCTGATAGCCATAGACCAATATTTCGCAGTGGTGGATCCATTGAGATATCGGGCAAAAGTCGACAAATTGAAATCCGAAATTCTGATATTTTCAGTATGGTTAATCTCATTAATATTTGCAATTATGGCATTTCTAAATCCAAATCCCCGTAGTCTTTGGTTGTCTTGTAATTTGCGATCAATGTCAAATACCAATTTAATGTTTAACAATTCGTTCACGGATATGCAAAGTAATTTAACCTTTGCCACAATTGAAAACAATATCACCGATATTCAAACAGAATGGATGAAATATGTTGACGATAATATTTCAAACGAAATACCAATGACTTATGGCATGATTTATGCTATTCTACACAGTTTAACCGCCTACCTATTACCGTTTGCATGTGTATGTTGGATATACGTGAAAATTTATTCGGCTGCTCATAGAAATTCAGAAAGAACGAGAAGGACTGGTTCTAGGCCTATATTATCGTCGGCTAGTTTTTGTGAAGATTCTAAATCGCAACAGCAACAACAACAACAACAGCAACATTATCAGCAAATGGATAATTTATTGGATGATTTTAGAAGGATACCAAAAATTTCGAGTCTATCATCGATTGACGAAACCAGTGAGACTACTCAACCTGCTGCAGGAAGTCAAATTCCTCGTGGACGTTCATTTTCATCAGTTTCGGAAATTCATTCCTTAAATATACCACCATCAACCAATAACAATGAAGCTTCCTCGTCTGGTGGTGGTGGTGTTGTTTTTACCGTAGGTATGGATGCCGATGAATGTTCGCATATTGAGGAAAATGATGAAGATAAGTCCAATGAGCTTATCAATCCTATTCCTCCTACTATATCGATAGAAAAAATTGATCTTACGGATAACGAAGAACCAAGACTGTATTCTGATCGTATCAAGTATGATCATCATCACGTTAAGAATCATTATTTGGATCGATCAGATAACAGACAAAAATCCCCACACAATCTCATGTACGATCAAATGTTAATTCGTGAAAGTACTAGAGGTTCTTGGTTGAACAACGACGACAATATTACTGATTTGAGAAATTCTGATACCGAAGAGGACGTCAATTCGGAATGTTTTCGTTCAAGCAACGTAGAAGACGATTCGGTGATATTTAACGAACAAAAATTTACACCAAGTTCGAAAGTAAATGATCTATTAATTCGAACCAAAGAACGTAGAAATGAGGAGTCTGACGTTAACGAATTCGAACGATTGAAAAATGATAAACATTACGATAAAGTAGGATTAAACTCAGATTTTGATTTAAACGAGGTTATAGTAGATAGTAACTGTGAAGTATACAATGTAGAGAATAGTAGAAGTTCTAGAGAAATAGTAGTTAACGATACCAACAAAAACAACAACAATAACGAAACATCGGCATGTCTTTTGACAACACCTATCGTCACGATTACACCAGCACCTAATAAAAACACTTTGCATCGTGTAGCCAGCGTTAGAAGTACTTCTAGTTATATTAATTCACTCAAATACAGAATAAGTAATGGTTCGTTGTTCAGGTATAGAGAAGAAACCAGAGCTGCCAGAATAAGCGCTTTAGTTATAGTTATGGGTTTGATTTGTTGGTCACCGTATGAGGTATTATTACTCGTGAAAAATCTTCCACCTTACAATAATTATAAAATCGCTCACGAATATGACATTACCGTATTGTGTTTTCTTGTATTGGCTGCTTACGTTAGTCCATTGCTGTTTGGTTATCGTTCGAAACGCGTTAAAAGGGAATTGAGAAAATTTTTCTGCTTCAAGAAAGAACTATCTTATAAAAATAATAGAAGCCTAATGGCGAAAAAGGTTCTTAAAAGACGTCACAGTAATACGTTCAGTCATCTCGATTTGGATAATCGTTACAACATATTCAATTGCGTTTACGGTAGAAATCGTTGGCCTAAAGAAAAAGTACAGTTCGTACAGGTGCCTGATACCGCATTAGCAGTGGAAACCTGTAGAAGTAGTTTTTCAAGTGGCGCGAGTACGCAAATTTCTAGCACATCCACCGACGATTGTTGATACTAAATATATATACATGTCACGTTCTAATCATCTCGATCGTGTTCGATTGATTCATTGTGTTCCTTGGGAAAGCTCGTTTTAATTGATCGATCTTTCCTTAGATCAATTCGAGTTTTAATTTCCTTTTTTGGATACGATCGATTATTGTAGATTTTGTGTGTGTGTGTGTGTGTGTGTGTGTGTGTGTGTACGCGTGTGCGTGTGTGTATTCGGATAAGTTAAATGTATGAATAACAAATATAGCGGAAATATACGAATTGTCGTCATAATCCATAGGAGGTAATCTCTGTTTACCGATTTTTTGATAAGTTGAGTCATTTTAATGGAAATTTTACATATATTTCTTCTTCTTTTTCGCGAAGATGTGGAGAGAAATAAAATGGAGAAACAAAACAAAAAATATAATATTAAAGTTATCATTTCTTATCTTTAACATTTTGTTACTTAATAAACGATTAAAATGTCTTAAGTATTCCATTTAAAATGACTTATCTTATATACGTATATACACATACATATATATATACTTACTCGTTCTGGTCAAAATGTATTTATTTATTATTCATTTTTCTCATCTTCTGTAGACCTCGAATTTAAAGTCCAAAATGAATGATCGTGTGTCCTATGGTATATTTATATGTGTATGCAGTCTGTCTGTTTGTCTGTTTGTCTGTCTATATTTGTCTCTTTATAAGTCTTATTACAAGTACAACAAATAAAAGTCTCGTTGCGTATAATTGACTAATGGTCAATAACCATGAAAATATGGGCGACTTAGAAAAGAAAAGAAAAATATAATACATTTAATCTCGAATACTTGCGTAGATTATTCACATAGTATAAGCAAGCTTTGTATAAACGTTATATTATTGATTAATATAACAATATTATTTAATATAAACTGATATTTTACAAACCAGAGAGAGGTGGATGCAATTATTCGAAGAGGTTCAAGATCAAATTTAATTTTTTTTAATATTTTTTATCCTGGTTATTTATAAAGATGATGAATTTTTATAATTATCTTTATAGCATTTATTTTGTTTGATGATGGCGTCCAAAAATATTGACAAATTCATTCTTTCCGAGTTTTCGAGTTTAAATTCCGTTCGACAATGCGCACTTGACTAATAATCTCACGTATAATCTTTTATTTTTTTTTCCTCCCTTAAGAGGATAAGAGAAGACGAGACAAAAAAAAAACGTTATCAAAAAAGTATTCTGCGTAACGACGACAGTCGTACCCGCTAGTATTACAATTTATTTCTCGAGTTGCATAACTAGTATAATACAATCGTAATTGTAATTGGAATTCGAGAAACTAAAAGGTGGCTTATTCTTTTTTTTTCTTTATTATCTTACGCTTATTCACGAAAATGTTTTCTAGAAAACGTTTATGCGAATTAACTAATCTATCTATTACTATTATTTTGTTTTTACTATAATTAATTTAATAATATCGTAAGTAACTATATTCTCATGTTAGAAGAATAATATGTGCGAAAAGATATTTTTTACAAAAGCGTACACCCTGCTCATGCTGACCAATTCTTTTATTATGTAAATATGTATGTACGTATTCACACAACCCAGCATTTCATGACAAATCACGAAACAATTTGATTCCTTGGTTCAATGCGTCGAGGATTTTGAAACTTCTACGAAAATATGTTATATTTTTTATTTTGTACATTACAAAAAAATATATATACCTCTTTTATTTATATTAAATAATCACTGTAAATAATGTTATTACGATCGAATAAAAAACGCAGCTATTTTTACTTTTTTTCTTCGTTTCGATTCTAACGTTTGATTCGTTATATCGATCTGTAACTTCAATTATTATACTTATTAGCTTCTTTTTTTTTTTTAATTTTTTTTCTTCTATAATCTTCAAAATCATAATAATCTATTCAATTTTCTTTAACGTAATTCCATTTAATCGCGTTAATTTTTTAACATTTTTACATCGTGTTACTTTCTTTTCTTTTTTTTTTTATGTCTTCCTCATTTTTATGTAGCCCCGAAATTCAATTTTTGGGCGTTGTTATTATCGTCTTAACAATGTGATAATAAAATAATAATAATGATTAATAGTAATTAATAGTAATAATAATAATAATGATATAATTATATATATATAGAAAATTTATCGACGCTCGATGTGAAACTAATTTATGTGACTTTGTCAATAAAAAGAAAGAGTAAAAAGAGAGCCTATAACGTACAAAGTGAGATCCTTTGTTCCTCAACAACAATAACAAAAGACAACAATCTTCCTTTATTTTATTTTTTTTTTTTTTTCATTAGATACATCATGATTCTGATTATTCTCTGAAACATAAATTTTTCCTTAATTCACGTTGTCGAGTTGATATTAGTTTAATATTTAACATCCTAAAAATTACTTTCTTAAATGTTAAGTTTACTTTCTTCGATATTTTACATAATTAAGTACAATGCCGTTTCGTATAATTCGAGTTTTTAAATAAACAAATGCAAAATTAATCGCTAATTATATTTTTGTTTTTCTTACGAACGAAGTGTTTCTTCATAAACTTCTTAGAAACGCCATTTTTTCACATTGTGTAATAAATTTGTAATAAGAAAAAAAAGTAGAATTCAAAGAAGTAACACGCGTAATGTGACCATAATTTGCATAATTCTACAAATTGGGATAATTAATAGTGATGGCAGATTGTATTAAAACAAAATATTTGTGAAAGCCATTATCAAAATGACGCGTATCGTTTAACAAAGCGCGACATCTGCAAAATTCAATATATAAAGGCATTATAATACCTAAAAAGAGGTTTGTATTTTATTTAACTACGATCATAAATGTGAATTTTCGTATAATGGCGGTCGAATTGATGTCAATCTTGGAAGTTCCATCGTCGTATTAATGCGTTGATCTTCGTCATTGGTAAACGTACGATTATCGTAGCCATCTTGATCCTCGACGTTTTTCACTTGTTTTACCGGTCCGTCCATCAAAAACGTCGTTAGAAGAAACATGATGGAACCTAAAAAGAAATATTTACTTTAAAGATAAGCGTCAATAATGAATGTTTTTTTTCTTTTTTTATATTTCCCTTCCATTAAAAAAAATATCGAAATAAAAACATTGGATAAATCGCGTAAAAAAATACGTACTTATGCCGTAAAAACCAGCGTAAAAAATGTAGAGAGCTTCCCGAAAACCGATAGCCATTCTGGTTGGTTCAACGAGTATCGGTAAATTACCACCGATATTGTTCATTACGAAAAGAAATATGCCTACCGTTGTGGATCTCATATTCAACGGGACAATTTCTACGACTACTGCGAAAACAATACCAAACCACATCTCAGCTAAAAGAAATAAATTAATATATTAACGTTTAAACGTATTATTTATAATTGATTTATTACTCAAAGTAATACGTTTAATTGCAACGCCATATTTGTTTGATATTCTCAATAACATATAGTTTACATAGTATTTAATTTTGCTAATAAGGTATAAAATACCGTCATATATTAACATTTGCAAATCACAGTAATTATTCTCTAATTACTTTCGATGTTGAATATGTTTCTAATTATCGGAATTCATTATATTTGAGTAATTCCTGTTAACTATTGAACTAATATGGCGAAGAACATGTTAAGATTGTTGAACAATAAAGAGTAAATGATTATTAGTAAACGATTTTACCGAAGAAATAAGAAATTCCGAGGGACAACATAGCCCAACGTGGTTCGAAGTAAACCGATCCAAATGCTGGGGGTGTTGCTATTAATTGGCTTATTGCCAATACCGCAACACGCGATCTGATTCCCATTTTAGCGACGAATTTATCGCTGACCACACCACCAACTACGACGCCGATGCTGCCAATTACAATTGTTACTGCAAAGAGCCACCAACCAAGATCGTGATCCGGGAAATAGTCACGATAATAAAGATCGCAATTGTAAGCAAAACACATGCCACCTAAAAATATAATGATATTAGTCCTTTCGTTTATTTTTTTATTATCATTTTTTCTTCAGATTATATAATCGCAGGATTGTATACGAAAAAACAAATTAGTAAACAAAACTCATAATGTTCATGTTTTCTATTACCGCAATGTCTGATGCTAGCTGCAAGACATAAAAGTATAATTCGTGGTTGAGAAATTACTTTCCAAACAGAAATTTGTTTATGTTTGGTTTTATCGCTTTCTTCGCCAATAGTCTTTCTTTCTGGTTCAGTTAATGTCAAACCGGTAAGAATTGCAATAATTATACCGACAATTCCAGCACCATAGTAGCATACTCTCCATCCCTGATAAAATATGTGATCAATTATTGAATGTTTTCTTGTTAACATGCAATGATTTATTTTATATAAAAACACTCACCAGATCCCAAGCATTTAAAGATGGAACATATCGACCAACTGGAAAGGCAATACCATAACCGCCATAAATACCCCAATTAAAAATGGACATTACTAGACCACGTTGTTTCTCAGGAAACCAATCGGAAATTAAACCGGTTGACAATGGATTGCATCCTGCTTCCCTGTTTGTTCATTTAAATATTTGTTTCTGAATGTATTTCATTTCTATGGGATGTTCAATTAATGAATTCTAAATACAATTATTAATTAATAAAGTTCGTTTAAATTACAAATATTAAAAGTTATGAATATGTAGTGCAACGTTTAAAAGTAAGGTTATCTCGTATAATAAAACAGATTTTACGATTGAACAACTAACATGACTAGTTTGCTTTCGAATTTTAAAATGTAATATCGCGAGGATGAGATTAAATGAATTTGTAATTAAAAATATATAAGATAGATCAATGATTTTTATAATAATATTTTGAAAATAAATCTCCATTTAATTTACCCAGCTGCAAGGACCATTCGAAGTACGACTAAATGCCAATATTCTTTCACAGCTCCCATCAACACGATCGCCAAACTAAATACTAACGTGCAAATTGCTAACAATCTGACCCTGCCAATCAGTAATATTATTAATTTGATTATTTATTTATAAAAACAAATATTGTTTTGTAATTTTATGATTAAAAATAATGTAATTACCTATTGAATCGATCAGCAGCTATGCCCAAAAGGACTCCTACCACTGTGTAAACGGCAATGAAACTTGGTCCTGCCAAAATTTGATAATCCAAACCAAGGCCATTGTAATTCCATTCACAATACGAAGTACCATTCAATTCTAATGATTGACAACTGCGAAATATTTACTTAAATATTAATATCTTCGATATTGTTCAAAATTTCGTCTTATATTTCGAATTAATGTATCATAAATTTTTTTTTTCGCAATTATTATAATCAAAAATTTGTTTACTTATTGAATCTTTTATTCGAAAATATCAGATATGCAATATAATATTAAATATTATATATCGTCGTAAAAAATATTTGAAAATTCTTTGTTAATTTATCTCATTTTATCAAAAAACTACGAATATTAAATTAATAATCATGAAATTTTTGTTACGTTCTTTCATTAAAAATAAGCATTTACGCTAGCAGTTTAAAAGTGACTCACTTGATGGCGTAATTTACTATCTTAGTAACGTATGTTTAATCATGTGTGACTATAAAGTTCAATGTAAGTAATGTTGCGGATTAATTTGAATCTTATACACGAAACATCTAATTTTAAAAGTCTTACAAAAAAACGTAAATATAAAAGAAAATAATTTCTGATATTTTAAATATGTTTTCTTGCCGATTGACCCTACTTACTAGGTTTCATTGTGTGCTTTTTCGCATCTAACCGGAAGTTCTATGAGCGAGAGAGTTGTGGAATTAAATTGACAGGAAATATCGCCATAATGCAAATCTTCAGCTGTTGCCTTGCTCGTAACCCCTTATTTTAAACAAATAACAAAAGTAATCATAAAATATTATTATAAAAAAATTAAAAATGTATTAAATATTTTATTATTGGATCGATCGAAAGCAATTAATTTCCTTTTTTTTGCATTTTTATTTATTTTATTTATTTTTTATTTTGTTTGTTTGAAAAAAAAGATACAAAAGATACAAAATAGAGAAAATATTTACCGATCACGTAATGTCCCAATTCACCGAGAACGTATCCAACCGAGATTACGGCCAAAGCGTAAGGTTTATATAAAAATTTCAATTTTTTTAATGTCGTTCTGAACATTTTTATCCTGAAAAATAACAAGTATTAGATAAGGATAATTAATTTATCGATTGCATATAATTTATACTTAACAAAGTTAATAACTTTACGATATTATCTATCATGTAAATTATCTTAACTATTGAAATTCATGTCTTGTGATTTTAGATAATTTAAAGAATACAAATATAGAGTATAAATCAGTAAATCTGTCTTTTCAAATTGTTAAATAAATAAATATATATATACTGCTCTTTCTAATTAAAATCTTAAAGCTTTAAGCTCAAAACTTTTCAACCCACTTATGATGTAACTTTTATACAATTATTTCTTTTTCACGAAATTAAACTGTAAAATAATTTTATTTTTTTTTTCCATAAAACATGAAACGTATTGATATAATACGATTCTTACGAAATTCTTTTGTGATTCATTGTACATTAAAAAAAAGGATATATAGTATGATAGGACAATAAAAAAAAATGATAGGACAATTTGACGATATTATATTACTTGTTAACGAAGTTGTAATAAGCGGCTTGTAAGGTTCTTTCTTATTAGATATCCATATAAAGATAAATTATTATTATTATTATTATTATTATTATTATTATTATTATTATTATTATTATTATTATTA